TACTATACAATTAAATGCCTTAACTATAAAAATAAAACTATTCATATCTGTAGATATGTTAAAAAAGGTTGGAAAACAATCACCCACATTTTTTTTAAATATATATATTTACACCCCCCAACCCAACCCTTTTCTTTTTGGGATAAGTTGTTGCTTTCACTTTATAGGTACCATATTTATTTTTCAACTTCAGTACCAGGTGACCGAGCATTGCTCGTGGTGCTTAATTATTTATTCGTAAGTTATGAAAATTATGTTAGTGATATATTTTAATGTAATCAGTAGTAGAATTATAATGTAGGCTATACTTTTTTGTAAAAAATTGGTGACTTTTTGTTTATAAATTCGATCTACTTAACATTTGTTTGGATTAGACGGAATAGTACATCTTCCCGTTGTGAAGCACGGGTACAACAGCTAGTGATATTATAAAATTAACTGTATGGCGTTGCTATACATATACAGGGTGATTGATATAAGTGTGCCAGCCGTTTTATTCGAAAACTATAAGAGATATCAAAAAAAGTTAAATGGTAAGTGCCTTGGATTTTTTATTAAAAAATTTTTAGTCAAGTCAAAAAAAATATTTTAATTTTCATTTTTCCAATATGGCCGCCAACTTTGATTTTTCTTATGGAACACCCTGTATTTTATGATGTATTCTGGTTGAAAATGTAATTTTAAGACGATTTTATTCTTTAGATTTTTTTCATAAATCTAACCGTTTTAAAGATAATAATGGTTCAAGTTTTGAAATTTCTGCATGAGAAAGAGTTTCGATAAAGGCCTATGCAAGCATGCCAGCTGTTATATTCGAAAACCATTCAAAATTTCACAACTTAAACCATTATTAACTTTGAAACGGTTAGGTTTATGAAAAAAATCAAAAGAATAAAATCGTCTTAAAATTACATTTTCTATCAGAGTACATCATAAAATACAGGGTGTTCCGTAAGAAAAATCAAAGTTTGTGGCTATATTGGAAAAATGGCGGCTAAAATATTTTTTTCGACTTTACTACAATTTTTTAAATAAAAAGTCCAAGGCACTTACCATTTAACTTTTTTTGATATCTCTTATGGTTTTCGAATAAAACGGCTGGCACACTTATACCAATCACCCTGTATACAGGGTGAGTCTTCTAAGCTGTCCTAAACAGATTACAGACGAACGGCTTGACATACAGAGATGAAACAAAACTTTTCCCGACTAATTCATACCCAAGGAACAACGTAAAAATGTTTTTACCATTTTTAAAATACAGGGTGTTCAAGAAACTGTGGGTCATGGGTTCGAATCTCAGAGTTTTCAAATGTAAACATATGTCACGTTATGGATAATTTTAAAGCTCTAGACTAGACAAACAATTTAGTGAAAACAGAACTCATTTATCTTTGTCCGTTTCAAAATGGCGGCCATTTTTATATAAAATATTGATATTTACAGAATACCCTGTATCTTGAAAACCACTAAACTTATTTTCGTTCTGTTTGAAAATTCTTAATCCTCGTAGGTTCAGCTTTAATTTGATATACAACAAGTCAACATTTTAAAAACTAAATATTTTTTCTATGATTTTAATTTTTTTTAAGTTGGTAGCCTTGTAAATGAAAATATTTAAATGGCAACATATGTAAAAGTGTATATAATTTTGAAGGTCTTGTAAAAACAAACAACTTTTAAATTTAAACCTACCGTCTATCTTTGGTCGTTTTCTAGTAATTAACCAAAAACTCCAATTGCCCGTATAAAACTCATGTTAAACGCGCAGTACCATGGGAATAGTGTATCTCCATCCACTAGTCTTCAGTACTGTACGTTTAACTTTAATTTTTTAATAAAAAATCCAAGGCACTTACCATTTAACTTTTTTTGATATCTCCCCTGTATTGAATGTCAGTCTAAAATATGTAATAAAACAAACTATACAAATAACATTTTTCATGTTCACGAATTGGTGCTATATGCACGACCTTGTCATTTCAAGTCATTGAAAACCGAAGGCCTAAGTAAACTTGAATTACCGACAGGTAAAAAATAATTTTACCTACAGGAAAAGGGTCTGCATTTAATAATAGTACAATTAACTTACAGTTTCACCATTTTTTTAAGATAACCCTTTGTAGGCCTATAAGACTTTTAAGTTATACAAACTTAGTTAATCTCATGTTTAATAGTTTACTAGCCTATATTTGACATGAGATTTCCTCTACCAATTAATTGACTTAGCCGTTAGACGCATCGTACAGTTTTGTGCTAAATCTAAGAAAATGTAATTTTTATTCAACTCTAGAACTCTTACTCTTTACTCTTAGCTTAGAAATAAGGAGTAAACATAAAAACAGCAAAATAGTTAGTAAAAACTGCAAATAAATACTATAATATGTGATTTTCGGCTGTTTAATGTAGCTTCAAAGGCTGAACTTAAGGGTTTGCGAGACAAAAAAATTCACGGCTTTACTTTATGCTCTAGATTAGAGCATATGATTTACACCAGTGCGAAGAAGTAATTAGTTTTTAAACTGAGTCACATTTAGAATTAATATGAATAAAACAAAAATGTTAAAATAAGTCTAATTAGGCTACATTGGAACTCCAGTTAACCTATCAAAAAATATAACTTAAACCACCCAACTTGTTTTACGTGTAAATAGTTTTCAATTTTTCCATGGTTAATTCAGCTGTAAATCCAATTTATCTTCTGTAGACGTAAGACTCCATGTTTAATTTACTTAACGAACATTTATATACAGACAATCAGTCTATATTGAAAATATTTACAATGAAGTTCAATAACAAACTCCTGAGTTGTGATAACATTTAACATCAGCTGTTGACCAGCATTGTTGCGAATATTAATATGCTCTCTGGCTGCAACGGTTAGTTACTGGGATCGCGGAACGTACATTTAGAACAGAAATAGTATTGATAAAAAACATAAAATATTTATTCTTTCGTGGTGAGTTTTGGCTTGAGTTTTTCTTCTCTTAAGATTCTTAATTGTTGCTGCCCCTTTTCTTTATTTTACATATTTGCTCATCCTTCTTGAACTTGCAAGGGATGTTGTCTTTTTTATTCGTTCGTTGTGTTTTAGCTAGAGTTTTTCTGCATTCGATTTTTTTTCTGCCCCTTTCTTTTCTTTTGACTTCTTTGCTCATCCTTCAGTGACTTTTGGCCATGATCCTTTAGCCCCTCCTGATGTTTTTTTCTAGTTCAGCCCCAGTGAGTCACAGAATCAGCACTATGAGTTGATCAAATGTATCCAATGGAGTTGTCTCACCTTGCATATTCTATATGTATAGCAATATAGACCGCTCAACCCTGCACAAAAAATTTTTGTTTTAATATTGGACTTTTATGAGGGTTTAATTTAAGTTGACATAGTTTTATACCTGACTGAGGAATGAGAATCCTAGGAAGGGCCGTGGTTTGGCAAGTAGCCAAAGCTATGTGGATTCTGCGGAGGATATCATTTCGGTGCTTCCGTTTTCAAGACTTCACTATTTGAATTCCATTCGTTAGCTGCACTGATACCTATAAACACGACCGCCTCCAAAAACCTAGTTATAGAGAATGGCAAGGGACATGGGAGAGTGATCTATAAGATATAAGAGATAAAGTTATCTATTGAGCATTTGCAGTGTGGTGTGAGGGCGGCAGTGACCAGTGACCACTTGACCTCCACTCAAGGTGACAAACACAACATACAACCTGGCTGTCACTGCACCCATTGTCTCTATGTTTCCTGGACGCCCGATAGTAGGGCACACAGATCACCAACTCCTCCAGTATGCTCCGGATATGGCACACAAACCACCAATTATTTCTGTATGACCTGTAAGAACACTGGCCACCAACTTCACATATATGCCTTGGATGAGGCGAATAAACCCCCAACCTCTCCTGAAGGCCCTGGATATGACACACAGACAACTTTTCCTCCAGAGTGTATCCAGGGCAGGGTATGCAGACCAATTACAGTCTCCAGTATGGCCTGAAAATAGTACTATTTGTAGGGCACATTGACCACCTTTAGCTTTTCCTGCACACTCCGAATGTATTGTAAGGCATACAGGCAACCTATTTTCTCCAGTATCCCTTGAATTCAGCCAAAGAATTCAGAGCCTACCTTTTCCTGGACATGTTGGAAAAGTTAAAAGCACACAGGTTTATCCCTGGATACAGGTTAAGGCAGACCACCTGCCTTTTGTACTTTCCTGAACACCACAGATATATTAAGGCACATACCACTTATTTCTTTACTAATGTTTGATCCATGCCAAAAAGTATCGTAAGAAAATGTTTTCCAAAACAAATATTACAATAAACCAAATAAATTTTAACTGAAGCGTGTCAGTCGGGGTATTTCTCTCGTAGCTGTTACCTTGATTTGTTTGTGTCACTGAAGGTGGGGAATTGTATCGTAGCCAAGTCTGGGTGACCTTTGTCTGTATCACCTCCAATGAGGCAATACCCCATAACTAATCTAACCTAATAGTTTAATTAATTAGATTGCCGTGTGGAAATCCAGCTAATTGTTTTATGCTGGACATTTGATCCAGCTTGTCCATTTTCAATATCATAAACCAAGTTACTTATTAGCTTGTATCAGCTGGCATTGACATTTGTCTCGGTGATAAATATCTTGGCATTTATATAGACACACCCAGTAGTTGGTTTTCAAGTTGAACATATTCAAAAGTCAATCTTGTTAAGTTTGTCTGGGAATAGTTTTAGATTGTTTAAAAATGTGTATACATTTGGTTGTTCATTACTATTTGTTATATATTTATTAGCCATTCAGGGTGGGGAGAATTTAAGAATTTCAGTAATTTTTAGTGAATTTTCCAGTAGCTATTACCGTAGGTCTCATGGTAAGACTTTGTAAGACCTAAATTAAACAAATTTCATACGCAAAGTATTTCTATTTTACAAAAAATTACTATGCTATATTTCATTTGTGAATAATTTGGGATAACAGGTCTGAACAAGACATGATAAAAGTTACAAAATTCTATTTATTTACAGACATAGACATATTTTAAAGCTAATATTTTACAGTTTGTTAGTTATTGCTTTTCTTCTCCAGCTTGCAGAAATACATAGGTCCGAAGTTAGATGGTAGGTATGGCACAACCAAAGATCCATATCTCAAACAGTTTGCATCGGCAAAACGAAAAACCACTTTGGCAGGTTCTAGAGCCGCACTCAGGTCTCTGAAACAGTTTTTAGATAAAACAGTGTTTTTCACTAGATCTTGCTAGAACCCAAAGTGTTTCTCTCTTTATCTCCCTGCACAATTTTATAGGCTAACTAATTCACTAAACAAAAATATTGTGCATTGTTTGCAGCTACACAGATCATCTCACTCCATTCTACACTCACCCTTCCTTCATATTCAACTAAGGAATGCACTAAAGTGTGTGTTGCTCTCTTAAAGAATTCAATTGAAGTACAGGTTAACTCCCACAATAGCTTTCATCTGGTATAGTTATTATGAACAAACAGCTGCTCTGTAACTGAGGTGTTCACTAATAAACTATTCTGGTCTTTTACAATTGTGGTAGTAAAGTAGAAAGACTGACAATAACCAACTAACTTTTGATTTATATGTGTATCTTTTTTAAACATCGACAATTGATTGCTACATTTTGATACTTCACAACTAAGTCTTCAAGTGAGAAAATTTAAAACTGTAGTCAACTCTATCTGGTTTTTTTTAACTTTAGTTATAAAAATAACTACTTTCGCTCAGCGAAGCATGTATTGAAAAAAACAGTTTTTGCTGCAGTATGACAGAAAATAATCTGAATTAAAATTAATATTGTTAAATGCTTTTTAGTAATGTTGTAACTAGTCATTTCCAATGATCATATCAACATCAGTGATGATTTCTTACAATCAAGGTGACTCGCGCGAGTAGGACAACTTTGTGATAATGTCCTGCGATCAAGATTTTTCTACTTTACGAATTGGCAATAAAAAAGGGCAAAAACAATTAATTAACACCTCAAAATTTATCGGTAAAATACTAAATAATTTTGAAATTCACAGTATTTTTACGCATTTTTGTTTTGTTTTGCGCAAAATGCTTAGTCCTTTGCTGCCGCACCTTTCGCACAAGCCTAAGGCATTATGTAGCTAACATACTTGACAACAATCTTCATGTTGGTTTCCTCCCAGATTCTGCGTAAAGCCATCTGTACAACTCCGTCGTTCTGCGCAGGATTGAGACAACAAGTGGAGTAAACCACACATCCTCCCTCATCGACCAGCTTGAGGGCATGACTGGAATATATAAAATATAATAAGTTAAACATAAAAAATATGGATTAGATTTGAAATATGGACATTTATTTTAAAACTGTTTCACAAAAATATATGTATCTAGTCGGTTATCTGAATGGGAAACAGAGCCATAGCCTTTGGTGGTCGCAATCAGGGGCCGAACCCTATTACACTTTATGTTTTTCTTTTAGGAATTGATTTAGTGAAAACACTATGAACCTTGTGTTAAGTATTATTCCAATCTTCCAAAGTAGATAACTGTATTACATGAAAATCACCCAAGTGTAAAATGAGTGGTGAGGGAGGATAAAGAGAATAGTACCATCAAGTTTATGCAAATCGTTGTCCAAGGTGATAATGGGCGTGTTATTGTTGAAAACTCAAGTTGCTTCCATGTAAAAGTAACATTTTTTAATTTTGTTGGTAGAAACAAACATATAATTTTATTTTTTAAAGGAAATATTTTGTTATTAGTTCATTAATTGAAAAACTTACAAGAGTAAATCGACTTGGGTCTGAGGAAGCAAAATCCTCTCTCTGTTCCTTGAAGGTTTAAAAATGTTATTGTCAACTTCAGTCGCAGAATGTCTGTCTGTGGTGCATGGAACGTCTACCAAGATCTGAAATAAACAAGGAAATATATATATAAAAATCACTTTGATTTAATAACTGACTATTGGATCTATGACAATTTTGATTAAAAAAGTTAACATTTAGGCTAGGATTATACTAGGACGCTGGCGTCCGAGAGGCCAGCGTCCGGGACGCTAGCGGGGCATTAAATCAAATGGGGGCGATTATACTATGGATGCTAGGCGTCGGATGCTAAAAAAAGCCACCGGACGCTCGAAGCTGTTGCCATAGGTGGCATGGTAAGACCTAGGCCCGGGACCGATTTATATTTTCATTTTGATGTCCCCAGAGGCCAAAAACACCATTCGTTCGTATAGATTTAAATATTATATATATGTCTGTAAACGCGATAACTGGAGTAACTTTTGTCCTATTTTGAAGAAATTTGGTTTTAAGGTGAAGGGTGGGATAAACTTGAATGAGTTCGCGAACCAGCATGAAAAGGCCTTGGGAACGGGGTTTTATGTGCTAAAAAAGGGAGTCTGTCATTTTTGACCCATAAAACTGAAAAATTCCCAATTTCTCTCTAGACAATTTTAATGAGCTTAAAAACTAATAATTTAGTATATTTAAGTGTTTTTGTACTGTTATTAGTTATGGAGAAAATTAAAAAAAGAATATTAAAAATTGCCATGTTATTCAATACAATACAAAGAAAACATAAACTAAAATTCTCTATGGACCCAGAAGCAGTGAGACTTAAAGCCGAATTTCTTAAAGCTCTAAGAAAGTTTGAAGTGACGGGAAATCCAGATGACAGAAGGGTTTCTATTGAAAATAAAAAGAACTATGACCTGTACTTGAAAACGATGCGGAAAAAGGTTAACTCTGACCAGTTGATGAAAGCTGAAAATAAATCTAAAGCTATCTGGGAAACAATAAACACAGTGTGGTCCAAAAAGGAAACATCCCTAAATGAAATAACCCTTCAAGTAGATGGCCAACTCATAAGTAATGTGACCCATGTTGCAGAGCATTTGAATACATTTTTTACACAAGTAGGAGAAAAAACAGTAGAGAAACAAAAACACCTAAAGACCACAGCTCAAACTCCTGACGTAACTCAAACAGGTCCACCGTTTTCCTCCTTTCAAAGCACAGACGAGAAGGAAGTTAAAATGATTATAAACAAACTCAAAGCAAAAAACTCGTCTGGAATTGATGAAATCTCGTCAAAAATACTTAAGCATTGCTGCAATGAACTAGCACTACCATTGGCTGATTTGATAAATAAGTCCCTAAAACAAGGCATCTTTCCTTCACTACTTAAAATAACTAAAGTATACCCGAAATTTAAAAAAGGTAGCACATTAGAAGCAAGCAACTACAGACCAATTTCCCTCGTTTCCACCTTCTCCAAAATATACGAAAAAATTGTTTTAAAAAGACTTTTAGACCACTGCACAAATCACAACCTACTAAACAACCTGCAACATGGATTTACAAAAGGGAAATCCACAACAACAGCAATAATTCAGACGGTTGAGTCCCTGATTGACAGCCTAGATGAAGGAAATCTAACAACAGGAATCTTTCTTGATTTCAGTAAGGCATTTGACTGCCTTGACCACCAGCTAATCATTAAAAAGCTGGATTCACTGGGGGTATCAGGGATAGTAAGAGAATGGTTTCAAAGCTACCTTACAGACAGGAGTCAGTTTGTAGAACTAAGGCACAGAGATAACAGCCTAATAAGAAAAACAAGATCAAATTTTCAACCAATAAATCGAGGAGTTCCCCAAGGGTCAGTTATGGGTCCGGTACTGTTTATTCTTTTTACCAACGATTTGCCGCAACAAATAGGAGACGCCTGCCTTACTCTTATGTATGCTGATGACACAACCTTAGTGTTTAATGAACCACTAGCTGAAAATCTAGAAGTAAAATCCTATGTGTCACTCAGTATGGCCTACCAATACTGCTATAACAATGATCTCGCAGTAAACACGTCTAAAACAACTCAAATAGCTTTTGGCCGTAAATCTCAAGAAGTGCCACGACTCCCAGATGTAGAAGTAGAAGATGAAGCTAAGTTTTTGGGCATCACACTCGACAAGAATTTAACCTGGACCCCTCATGTGGACAATATATGTAAAAAATTAAGTTCAACCATCTATGCTCTTAAACATATAAAAAATACAACAGATGACATGACAACAAAAGTAGCATACTTTGCACTTTTCGAGTCGCATATGAGATATGGACTTGTAGCATGGGGTGGAACCTCTGCCACTAACATGCAAAGAGTTCTCAGAAAACAAAAAAAGGCAGTCAGAATAACTGCAGGACTCCACAGACTCGACAGCTGCAGGGAAGCATTCAGGTCACTCAAAGTACTTACCCTTGTAGCACTCTACATCCAGGAAGTTGTGTTATTTGCAGTAAGAAATAACCCTTCAAGGCGTGGCGAAATGCACCAACACAACCTGAGAAACACCATGCAGTACAACCTTCCACAACATCGCACGGCACAGTTTGAAAAGAAACCTTCATACGCAGGAATGAAAATCTACAACAGGCTACCTCCAGATCTAAGAAGCAAGTCAGAAGATGACCTCAAACCAGCTTTGCATCAATGGCTCATTAATCGACCTTTCTATTCCTTAGAAGAATACCATCAACAGGTCTTTGACTAAACAACACCTCAACCACACATTTAGAAAAAATTGTAAATTGACGCTACTACTATTCTTAATGAATGTGTAAATAAAGATTAATTGTCTATTGTCTATTGTCTATTGTCTATTCTTATAGAAAATGTTATTAAGTGTTGGAATTTGCTTGTGTATGGATATATTTTGATTATAATTGGCCAATTTGTTTTATACTAAGCTAATAATACAGTATTTTACTAAAAACACACTTTATTAGCCCCCTTAAAACATCAATGCTTGGTACTCGTTAAAACACAATGTTATTTAAATAGATCTAAACAAAAAGTGACTAAACATTGAAATAATATGGCAGTGCGAGAGGCTAGCATCCCAACACAAATCGCGTAATTTTTCGGCTCGAGGTGGGACGCTAGCCTCTCGGACGCCAGCATCCTGGACGCCAGCGTCCTAGTATAATCCTAGCCTTAGTTATACATTTAGTCTGGGATAAAAATATACCAAAGACTGACAAAAGTTACCATGAATAAAACTTATTATATACCTATAGTCAACGATAGGTGTAGAAGTTTGGAATTTAACAGACGAATGGAGTAGGGTTGAGGCAGTAAAATTAAATTTGTAAGATTTATTAAAGGGGAAACTAGATAGGATAGAATTAGGAATAAAGAGTTGAGAAGAGGATTAGTTAAAGAAAGTTTGAGAGAACGAGTAGAGAAATTGAGAATGAGATGGTTCGGCCACTTAAGAAGAATGGAAAATGATATAATCCCCGCAGTAATGAGTGAGCTACACATGAATGGAAGAAGACCGAGAGGAATACCTAGAAGGTGGATTGACGACGTGAGGCGAGATGTGGAAGCAAGAGGAGTGCAGTGGCAGTTTGTAGAGGAAGAGGAATTGTGGAGGGACAGAAGAAGATTGAGAGGCCTAGTAGTGAACACCCATACCCGAAGGTACCCGGAACCGGAGAGGATATGTATGTATGTATGTGATTGTTTTTAAATAATCAATCAATGAAACTTAATTAAAATATTGAAAAATATAATTGATATTTCTATGGATGGAGTAAAACCTTAATTTGATGTCTAGTAAAGTTGTAAAGTTGTTTTGTTACAATTCTCTATAGGCCTAATGTGTTTCTAGTTCATCAACTGAATCAGCTTTGATTAGTGCATTAATACTGTACATTGCACATTGTGCGATAGAAATTTTAGTTGTAATATTGGTACAATTGATCCTACCTTGGTGAACTTTCCGTTCTCAAATATATTTTGTCCATCTTCATGGTTTATGGTGACTTTTGCATCCAAATCACCAAAATATTGTCTAATCACAAACTTCAATCTGTTGAGACGAGATAGGCTTGCATCATTACAATATACACTATCTGAAACAGTAACAAGAAAATCAGCAAAATAAAAAATAGCTTCTCAAGAATCTACAACAAGCATACAAAATCTCTTTACATATTTATATATTGCTAAGATCATAATGATTTTATCGGTTCTCGAACTTAAAATCATCTGATTTCCTACTGAACCATCAATCAGGGTCGCTTTAGTAAATGAAGGAATTTGAGAGTTTTTAGGTTTGTTTGGGGGTCCAGATTGGAAAATTTCCCAACGATGAAGTGGCGGAGGAGGGCACAAATATCTCTTAGGTCCATAGCGCTTCACAGGGAAACCACCAAAATCGTAGAGACAAGAGTTATGCAAACAAACTATGATAAATCAACTATGATAACCAAACTTACACAGTATGTACAACTGTGTCTGTGTGAACTGTTCTACAGAGATATTTAAGCTATGCCTGATATAAGCTGCGACCTAAGAGTCAAGTTTAGAATAACGATGCTTGGGCATTTGTTTGTGTTGCAAGTGTGCTGAAAGGTGTTGTCTCTTCGGCCAGGAGTGGGCAGGTAGACAGATAATAGACAAACACCTTTATTAGCAATTTCTTGAAGAAATACATTAGCGTCAAAATACAAAAATAGAAAGTTTATCTAGCTTTGCAACAGTTATTGAGGTTTGGTTTTCCATAGAAGCCAAAGAGAAGGCAATAACAGCAGCCAGGAAAAAGACTACGATCAAAGATTAAAACTTCTCAGGAGAGAACGCACCAAAACCATATAAATGCAGCAGAATACAAATCCAAAGCCCTATGGCTAGTATGAGAAAAAAAATCTAACAAACAACACACCAATTCAGCTAAATTGTCAAGGAGAAATAATAGATAACCCACAAGAAATAGCACACTTGTTCTAGAGTAATTTTTCCTGGATAAATGAGGTTATGTTAGCGGAAGCCTATTGTGTCGGCGGCACGGTCGGACCAAGAGAGGAGTTGGACCTTTGGAGGTCGGATTAGTGAGGTTCCATTGTATTGTTTATAACAGAGCTAGGTGGGAGAGGCCTGCCTAAAATAATAATCTATGGGCGACTAGGGCGTAAGTTGATGGGATGGATAGATTTTTGCCATTTGGACCTAGAATCAGGTGCATTGATTTTATTTACTTAACCTTGTTCTGTATGTCCACCAAACACATAATATTTTAAAATTTGTTTTTACTCGGTTATTTTGAAGTAAAAACTAGACATATCTACCATATTATTTCTTACCTGAAAGAATCAACTGAACATTACTGACTTTAGAATCTCCCAATCAAAAGTGATTTACCAACATTTTTTCTTTCATTACCATAGTTTACCACGGTGTATGTAAGATGTGTAATTACAACTGAGAATGAACATTTAATTCCCCGTAGCAGAAAACTGAACACTACCTGGATAAAGTGTTTGCAGACACAAGAGTGATTTTCCCCCCGGCGCAGCACACATGTCCAGGACGTGGTCTCCTGGCTCGAGACCCAGTGCCAGGACTGGCAGGAAGGAGGCAGCGTCCATCAAGTAGTAATCTGTAACAGGAAAAACTTGTCACCAGACTTGGAAAGGTTGCTCAACAGGGGTAGCGGGGTTCTACCCCCGGATATTTACCCCCATGAAAAAACGCCTACGTCATTTTGACGTCACGAGGGGCGGGGCTTATACACGTTCGAGAAACAGCCCGCGACTGGAAATCTACCCCCGGACATCTACCCCCGGACATCTACCCCCAGACATCTACCCCCGGACATCTACCCCCGGAAATCTACCCCCATTGGTCAGCTCTGCCGCGTATCGGCCAATTTTCATTGTGTTGTATAATTGATTTTATAAATTGCTTTACCTTCTTATATCCAGTAGTAAACATGCGATATGTCGATGTCTGTTTTAACATTATCCATATTTATAATTCAATAAGTTGTAACAGTCCTTTTCAACCCGACCTACTTCACTGATTTTTACGATTGAGGTGTCTTTTAAAAGCCTAAGATCTAGCGCAGCACAAAATGGTAATTAAAAGGATATTTCGATTATGGCTTCAAAATGTTGACCCCTAAGCCTTTGATTTATTCCTAGAAGGTGCTTCCAATGGTTGACCAACTTTTACACTATACAGTAACAGTTTAAAAGTGAAATGTGAGGAGCACTCATCAGATCAATTTTTAAGTCAGGTTGTGAAAACATGAATGATCGTCTGCAACTGTAAACAGGAGATGAAAAAGTTATGAAAATAATATAATATTGCGCACTTTTCACATAGTCAAGTGTTACATCGTACTGAACCATTGTTTTTACACACATTTCTTAAAGGATAAAGTGAATAAACTGTGGTGACCTTCCGGTTTATTCAATGTAGGCCTAGTAGGAATAATTGTTTAGTAAAACAAAACTCAGTTGTAAACTGTTAAATTGAGAAAGAGGATCAATAAAAGTCAGGTGTATAATGGTAAATTTTTCATATCATCTAGTAAAAAAAATAGTTTCTAAGATTTAAATGCGTACTAAGAAAGGATTTAAAGTATTTTCTCTTAAATACCTAAAATAAGACAATTCAGTTGTAAACTGTTAAATTGAGAAAGAGGATCAATAAAAAGTCAGGTGTATAATGGTAAATTTTTCATATCACCTAGTAGTAAAAAATTTTATATATATACGCCTAAATACCCCCATTGCAGCACATTCGCATATTCAGAGCATGTATAAAGTCTTATTGGAAAATCCTGCCTTAAAACAAAACTTGTCAACTTATGTCCATAAATAAGTGTTCAAAAGATTCATTCATAAGAATACCAAATAGGAAGTGAATAAGCAGGTTTCCTGTTAGTAAAATGTTAAAATGAGGCATTTTAAGGTAGTATACAGAACAGAATTAGGTTAAACCCGTCGACACTGACGGTTACTTTCAAGGCTTATGCTAATTCATTTTATAACTGTGATAAATAGATTGAAGTAATACAAATTTTGAGCATTTAGCTCTTTTGATGAGTAATAAGTGTAAAAGCAATAATGACTATTGCGTTAGTTACAAAATATGGTTGATCATTCAATGAATAAAATATTTCCCATACCGTACGTCATAACAGTTATTATTACAATGTTAACCGGTTTCTCTTCTTTTGGAAGAACCTTTAAATAGTTTTAAAATCGTATTGGTCAATCTTTTGTGATAAACACTTCCGATCCGCGCTCATGCATGCGCTGTTAGCTGTTACTGTATGTGAAAGTTTGTCAACCATTTAAATCACTGTCTGGAAATGAATCAAATGCTTAAGGGTCACACTTTTGAAGCCCTTTATCAACATATGGTTTTAAATACCATTTTGCGTTGAGCTGAATCTTAAGATTTAAAATTAGACCTCAATCATAAATATCAGTGAAGTAGTTCGGGTGAAAAAGGGCTGTTACAACTTATTTTATTAGGAAGATAGATAATGTTAAACAAGGCAATGACATATCACATGCTTAATACTAGATATTAGAGGGTAATGATTAACCGAAGAGACGTTGATTTACATAAAACAATTAATAAAATCAATTACAACAATGAATATTGGCCGATACGTGGCAGAGCTGACCACTGGGGGTAGATTTCCGGGGGTAGATGTCCAGGGCTAGATGTCTGGGGGTAGATGTCCGGGGGTAGATTTCCAGTCGCGGGCTGTTTCTCGACCATGTATAAGCCCCGCCCCTCGTGACGTCAAAATGACGTAGGCGTTTTTTCATGGGGGTAAATATCCGGGGGTAGAAATCCGGCGACCCGCTCAACAAATGTAACTACAGTTACAAGTTACTCACTCTTTTCAAAAATCTACATGCTCAAAAAGTAACTGATTACAGTTACAAGTTAGATGTTATTAAATGTAATGATTACAGTTACAAGTTACATGCTCTAATTTAGGGGATGTGATCTCTGAAATGGGGAAACCAAAACTGGTGATATGGTCAGGTAGCGGAGATACGGTCAACAAACTGGCCTAGCCCACTTTCTCTTCTTTCCCAACTATCATTGTCTCTGAACAATGTACTAAATTTACTTTTAATTTGAAAATAAGTTTCAAAATCAGTACAATGTATGTTAACGAAAGTAACTTTTTGCTGTTACAATTAAACGTTACTAATGTTTTGTAACGATTACCAATTATAAGTTACTTGTTTTAATATGTAACGGGTTAGTTACAGAGGTTACTCAAAAATGTAACGATTACGGTAATTGTTACGTTATTGTAATCGTTAATCCCAAGTCTGCTTGCCACAACAGATTAACCGGGCTGCGGATTAACCGGCACTTTTTCCAGGGTAAAATAAGTAAAACTAAATGTAAACGAAGGCGTTCCCCCAACACAAGTCAATGTTTTTTTTAATTATTAAGCTGTAGGTAAATTTGTTTAGGGACTTAATCTAAAAAAAAGTGCTCAAGGTTACAGACCCATAACTTTTACTCCTCCTGATACGTCAACACTCACTCACACACGTGCCACAATAAGTGTCTGCAATAAAATAAGATACTCTAATTGCAGACGAAATTGTGTCACAAATCTTGAGAAGTTTAATAAAAGAGAGATGTTTTCTGTTGAAAAACAGAAAACTGTTACAGATTATTTTTTGATAGAAGTAAGTAACCACAGTTTGTGCCTTATACATTTGTTTTTATCTTTAATACTGTACATATACATTGTATTTATATAAGTTACCTACTGTGTTGTGTTAAAATATGTGTGTTATTCATTGCGATTAATAATACAGTGTACAAAAACTTAGTTTATATTTTTATGCAATAGGCCTATAAATATCTTAAATACCACTGTTTAGTATTGTTTTGTGTTTCCTGTTCATGCAAACATAACTCGGGTCTGGATAGCTTTACTTTTGTTAGGATGACTTTTGGGAGCTTAAAATGAACATATGTTTAAGTGACTTCCGAGCCACCTAGTAAAATCAGTGACTTTTCCGTCATTTCAGAGGTTACCGTCACCGTCAACCAGGAAATTTCCCTGATTTAAAAGTAACAATTTTAAAATACTTTAAATATCCAGAAAAAACTTTTTATTTTGATCCTTTTAGCATTAAATGGACTAAGGTTCAACAAACACAAAACGTAACCCATGTTTGGATACTATCTACTGACCTAATAATCCACTTGCTCCAGACTTTGGTGGCCTAAACTCTGACAGATCACCGTGGTTGAACGTGTAAATCTGCAGATGAGGTGGGAAGCTGAGTTCCGTCTCTGGTTCGACCGTCACAGGAAATTCTCTGGTATCATTGTAAAACGCAAAGTGTTCAGATTCCGACACAAATTTCTCATTTCCTTTCAACCTTGAGGTGGGTACAAAGTCGTTTAGCCTAGTTGAGGAGAGTCCCTCGCTAGGATCAATCTGTCGGTCGGTGTCTATAGATGCTTCCGCCAGGCTCTTCTCTAATGACGATTTGGCTTTAGCAATCAGTTCTTTCTTGTCGAGAGACTCCTCTTTGTTTGAGCTGAAAGAAAGAATAGCTTTGACTATTGATACAACTTCAGAATCCAATAGTCAATACTTGAATACTTTTCAATGAAATGGCGACCATACAAAGTAGGTATTTTAAGCCAAGTATACGAATTGGTCTAATTCTCAGGATAGTACTGCGAATAGTCGTAGTGCCCACTCGTGCGGACGTTAATCCCCACTAGGAAGTATCGCGTCCACAGTGTATGCCTATAAATATCCACAATTCGTAACCTCCTAGTAGCTGATTACAGGACGACGCCACCCGTTGGGAGCGTTTCATAAACTCCAAATTTCACAAACTCCAACGCTTAAAATATTAAATAAACAGGGCGGTTCATAACCTCCAAATTTCATAAGCTCCAAATCTATAACATTCAAATAATCACTGTTTCAGAATGTCCAAGTTTCACAAACTCCAACGTTTAAATATTAAATAGACAGAGCGGTTCATAATGTCCAAATTTCATAACCTCCAACGGTACAGTCTGGGCCAGAAGTCTCTCTAGTGGTTGCCACAGTCAGATAGCAGGCACCGTTTGCCAGCGCTCAACTACTGATTATAAGTACATTTTAATGATTGAAGAACACTCACCTGTGTGACTCAAATACGTGTTAGCAAACAATGTGCCAATAAAATTTACATTTTAGCGAATTTCCCCTAGAGGGAATAAGCTATTACCGTAGTACTCATGGTAAGACCTGGTCCCGGGACTGATTTACTTTTTCTTTTGAGGTCCCTAGAGACCCAAAACACCATCAGTTCAAATTCATATATATATATTTATTTGTGTGTCCGTTAGCGCGATACCTCGAGCAAAAATCATCCGATTTTGATGAAATTTGGTACAAACGTGTAAACTTACGTTTATTCGAACGAGTTCGCAAACCAGCATGATCGGACTATGGGAACTCTTAAGAATATATACAATATACAATATATATTGTATATATATAAGAGAATATATATTCTCTTAAGAAAGCAATTACGGAGCAACAATGATGCTTCGTGTTGCGCCGCTACAACAGTAGAACGTGTAGCGCCTACATGCCGAACCACGGCAACCTCTGCAGCGACTTCTGGCAGAGACTGTACCGTTGGAGCTTATGAAAATTGGAGGTTATGAACTGCTCTGTTTATTTGATATTTAAATGTTGGAGTTTGTGAAATTTGGACATTGTGAATCGGTGATTATTTGAAAGTTATAGTTTTAGAGTTTATGAAATTTGGAGGTTATGAAACGCACTGTTTATTTAATATTTTAGACGTTGGAGTTTGTGAAATTTGGACATTATGAACCTCACCCCACCCGTTGCAGTTAAATGGTATAGGTATAAAAAAGTAAAATGTGTTTTTCCATTCAAATACATGGATTCAAATACATCAGTCATGGTTTTTCAATTGTGTCCAACACAGTTCTTAAAATAAAAAATACATTAAAAATATTTAAAATCTAGGTCTGTTTTCACATTCAAACAATTTTTAATAAAAAAGCCTTTTATTTGGTGAGTGTTAACGAAACACTAACTTAATACAGTAGACCTCTTCTTAACCGACCTCGTATTAACCGATAATCAGATTATCCGCCTTCGATCGTTATATAATACAGTTTGTTTTAACCAACCTTGCTTTGATAGCAGTTCGGCTTAACTGCCGCTTTCTAGGAATCTCAGCATTTCCGCTCCCACGCTGGGCGATGAGAACTGAACCATACACTTATCTCCACAGGATATGACTAAGAATAAGTTATTTTGTATTAATCACAAAAAGTATAGCATAACCTATTGTCAGTTTGTCATCATCGTTTGTGGCGGCAAATTTATAACATCATAAAGCGTGTTACAATTTTGAGAACTAATTATCTTATCGCTCGAGTAAACAAACAACACAACTTATAGGGAGGGCAGGGAAGGGGGGTTAACAACTCCAAGGTCAAGATAGTTTTTGTGCCTGCCTCCAGTAAGAGGCTATAAATAAACAACCTGTCTTGTAACAAAATGGTTGCTTGTACCTATCTTTAATTTTGACAAACTACTGTATTACGATGGATTTGGAAAGCATAAATTAATACATTACACTACAAAAGTTATTTAAATAGGAATTTTTATTGACTCTTGCCTAGTATTATAATATATTCCACTGAAAGTAGGCCTATTTGACTTTTAACCGTGTTTTGTGTTTATTTGTGACTTTTCTATCAATACAATACGAAAAAGGAGATAAGACTAGTTTATTTTATAAATAATGAAAGTATGACTTCAAAATAATGATTATGTAATTCCAAATAAATAGCACTTCATTATGTTATGATTTTAGGGATTGCACGTTTTAACCGACCTTTTGAGTTATCCGACCTAGGTCCGGTCCCATTAGGGTCGGTTAAGAGGGAGTCTACTGTAAGTAAATTTTTAAATACTTACATTTTGTTTATTGTTTAAAGATTTCATTCTTACTAGATAACCTGTTGCTCTAAATCGAGCAAAACTGAAACTTATATTAAAAGAATAAACAAAAATCATAAACAGCAAGACCTTAATCAAAGAGTCACTCTAAAATAATTTATATGACTGATTACAGAATATAAAAAATATTATGATGCAAAAAATATAAAAGCAATCTACAATCTCAAACACATTCAAACAATTTTTAATAAAAAAGCCTTTTATTTGGTGAGTGTTAACGAAACACTAACTTAATACAGTAGACCCCTTCTTAACCGACCTCGTATTAACCGATAATCAGATTATCCGCCTTCGATCGTTATATAATACAGTTTGTTTTAACCAACCTTGCTTTGATAGCAGTTCGGCTTAACTGCCGCTTTCTAGGAATCTCAGCATTTCCGCTCCCACGCTGGGAGTGAAATTCACATTCACTCTCATACTGCTTTGGTTATCTCTTATGTATAGTAGGCGGGTGCACTCTATGAGCACGTAGATGTCAACCACACACTGTAAAGTGAGCTTTTGACCTAATGTAGCTCAATTCCTCTCTTGACGCCAACCGTTGCTACTCTTATTCTAGCATTGTTAAATTATTTCTACGGTATGTTCTGTTTTAGGCGTGTTTAAATTAGGGGCCCCAACCCAATTCTCTGGTTGGGAACTTAAGAGGGTAAGCAAATGGATCTAACGACAGATCTAGAATGGATACGCATATAAAGATAACATATAACATAATTTTTAAAGCATTTTAGAATATTTACAAATCATCTCCTCCCAAGGTCTGTTGATAATCTTGTCCTTCGGGATAAAGGTTTTGAAGCTCTTCTTCATGTTTTCTGGCAGCGATTTTTTCTATTTTTTTGTCCAAGTTGTAGATACGATTCATATCACTTTTCCTTTTTCGTATGCTATTTTTTTCTAACAAAGAGTCCTCACGGACCCTAAACATTTCTCGGATATTAATGGCTCCTATATTCTGAAAAAATAAAATTTAATAATTTCAGAGACAAAAAGTGCTCACAATACATTGGTAAAATCTTGCTAAATTGTCCTCAGAATTGTCAGATTCCCGCTCTTTTTACTACATTCTTATCATATGATAACAGAAATGTTGGATGCTCATTTCATGTGTCTGAAATAAGACGGCCACTGTTACCGTCAATTTTCCTAGGTTGAATTGGAAAGTCAACACTGTTCGTTTGATGTTTATGTCGTGAATCCAGAATCTATGATCACGATTAATAAGTTCATCACATGCTATGTTGATCATAACATCTTCATCTGTATCAGCGCTGGAACTTGAGAAATTTTACCACCATCATAAATCATGAATAATCCGCACAATATAGAACTGTCAAAAGTACAATACTGGTAATCTGATTGAGATGATGGGATGGGGGTTTCCTGTGCTGTATATGGACAGTGAGTGAAGTGGGCGGGTGAAATCAAACAGAGGTCACAGTGAGAATACTGCGACCGTCATGTAAGAGACTGGTCAGGACGGTTGTAGTATTCCGCACTGTTTAAGACTCAAGACTGTTAATGACTCAAATTAACTTTTATGGATAAATGAGCGAGTGCTGTTAACCTGAATGAGAATGTTTTGAAAAATAAACGATATGGTCTTCAAATCTGTCTTTTAAAGGTTTAATGTTTTTCATGCTTTTACCATGTGATCTCTTTTATTAGACACTGGTGGAAATCAAGAAACCATAGACACTTTCTTCAATTGGCGTTTCATTATTTATGCTAATGTAACCTACAATCAACCCTCCTATTACGGTACTAGTTTTTTCCAGCATACCAGTTTTTTGTTGATCCTAAGTTAGCTAGGCCCATTAGGATAAGCTTATAAGGGAATCACTAGAAGAGTACTAGAAGGGACTGTATGGATGTAATTGTTAAATAGGATATCATACTTACTTCTAATTCAGTGCATGTTTTATCAGGCTCATTGTAATTATTTACAACGGCACAATATTTGTGAGGTGACAATAAGGCAAGGCGAATTGAGGGCCATCTTTTTTCAAAGAGAGGGCCGTAAACTGTGTCAAAATACTCAATGGCAGTATCAACAGATGTTTTCTTCTTTCGTTTGGTAGCCTGAAATGAAAATTACGAAATTCATCAAATATATGTTAAGAAAATGGTTTTTACAGCAATACATCAAAAGAAATTTTTATCAAAATGGTTCATCAAAAGAGTATTTACCTTGATGTTAGGGTAGCCGAGTAGCGTACTTCAAAATTGAATTTACTGTACAGTTTAAACTTAAGTCTAACACAAGTTTTTTTTTACTTTCTCCTCCTATACATAGCCTAGTATATGGAGAAAGTATAGTTTTCGTCAAAATTGTTGAAAGTTTTGAGTGGATATATCCGTTTTGGGTCGACCTGAACCCAAAAGTGGTTTTCGGAGTGATGTGTGTGTGTGTGTGTGTGTGTTAATGTGTACAGAGCTAACAGACCATACCTGTTGTCCGATTTAAATGAAATTTGGTAGTACGGTATGTACTTATCCATGGTATCTCCAGGGGTTTTACATTTTTTAAATTTGGATTTTTAATGATGATTTTCCTGTAAAATATCAGAAAAATGAGATTTTCTAAAAAATGGCCCGAACGATTTTAAAATAATTTCCTTTAAATTCTAAACGAAATGGTAGACCTACCAAGCCCATTCCCGTAGAATTAAGCGCGGTTCAAAAGTTATTGCAACTTATGTTATTTTCTCATAAAAATCCCATAAAATAACAAACAATCAGATATTAGAAATAGACCAGTTTCGATTAAAATTAGTAGGTAGGTTTGTTATGGACCTTTAAAACTTGAACTAAATGGTACAAATCTCATTTCCGTAAAAATTACGGTTCAAAAATTATTGTAACTTACCTAAGTTATTTTTCCATTTTAAAAACCCATAAAAACAAACAAAACTAGTTTTTCTGGAAAAAAGCCGGTTTTGATTAAAATTTATGTGATATGGTCCTTATAATTCTAAACGAAATAGGGGCAAACCCCCATTGCTGTAACAATTACGGTCAACAGGTTAATGCAACTTTTGTGATTTTTCCTTATAAAATATTATTGTTCCCACCGCTCCGAACGAACCATTCTGAATGTGATCTCGGTCAAATCACTGCCTGAATATGAGCAGCAAAACTAAGATAATAAATATCGGTGTCTACTTAAACATGATAATGATTAATGATATATATATCCAGACATGTTCGGGTTTGATATATAAATTATTACAGGGTTAATAAAATGTCTGGATATCCAATATTAACTTTTAAATGGGTTACCTCAGGAAAGCCAAACTCTGCACACCTCTAGGGTATAAGTTATAGTATAAAAGTGCACTTTTTTGTTGATATCACAATTTCGTCTGAAAACCCAAAATGGGTCACCGTATTTTAGGAGCAGGTCAAAAATTTTAAATGTAAAGCCCCATCAAGTGACTTTAAGGGAACCTCATTAGTTTAAAAGAATATCGGTGAAAACTAGAGACTGTCTCTACCTCAACTCATTACAGAATGGCAGCCATTTTTATTTTATATGGGAATACGCTTTTGGTTTCAACTTTCATAAAACTTTTTTTATGAGTAGGCCTAGACTAGGCCTATTATTAAGTTAGCCTTACTTATTTATGTAGATTTTTGTGGGCTTCACTCACCTTTATTTTTGTTTGTGATGTCCGGGACTCGAGTCAAAACACATAAACACACATATATACAACACAAAATCGTCCACGGCATCAAGGTCCGACATTTCGCGGAACTCAAAACAACGTTCCGCTTCTTCAGGGTATTAAAAAACTATTTTTAGCCCGCACGCGGGTCGAACGCCTAACCACGACTGCCGGATCAGCTGAGCTTGGAGGAGGACGGGCGGGGGCGGGGGTAGGTGCATTGTCCATTGTTGATAAGCCATTCACGCTCCTGGCCTTATCTCGTAGTTGTTCTAGTTCGTTTTTAACAATGTTTAAGTACACCGTACTGACATCCACCGATGGTCGTGAGAGTGGCTCGTCTTCTATTGCCATGAAAAGCGACTCTGCCGTAGAAGACGAGCCACTATAATAATACCCAAATTGTTTTGAGTTCCGCGAAACGTCGGACCTTGATGCCGTGGACGATTTTGTGTTGTATATATGTGTTTTGACGAGTCCCGGACATCACAAACAAAAATAAAGGTGAGTGAAGCCCACAAAAATCTACATAAATAATAACACCTCGCCTAAAAGCATGTCGTTCAAAAACAGAATTAGCCTTACTTACCCAAAGTTCATTATGTCTGCATTGCCTGATGAGTGCATCAAATACTCTCCATGAGATACGTGTAGAATTTCCAATTACACAGTTGTTTAGTATCATTTTTGGAGATGCTGAAAATAATGGACCAAGTTAATTTAACTTAATGTGTGATAACTCAATACTTAATAAACTTGATCAAGGCACTTAAGTTAATCCCTTGTCTGTCATAAAAGCGTTGGGTACAGTCAGGGCCGCCCCGAGGGCAGGGCGATCGGGGCGACCGCCCTGGGCTAAGTTAGGGGGGCGCCGCGGCTTTGGAAAGTAAAAATTTAACAACCTTATCGGCAAACCGCAAACAAATATTTTACCGGAAACTCGCAAACATGTAATCAATGATAATGACTATAAAAAAAGGCAATCTATAGATTTATTCATATTATTTAATATACAACGTGTACTATTACTACTTTTACGTCTGGCATGTGACTTAAAAATTGGCAATACTGCAAGTCCAAGACACTCACTGCGTATTCGCGACACCCCACATACACTTGCTTGTTTCTAACCTCAAAGCTTAACAAACTCTCGTCAACTCATGGTCGTTTTGTGATGTCCGTTGTCAGTCGTAGCATAGATAAAACATAGAATGTTTTATCTATGGTCGTAGATTCAATGTTTTTAGTAATTTAGTTCAGTTTAGTTGTTACATTTATAAAGAATACTATGCAAAACGCTCGATATCGATTTATTGGATGTTGGGTCTAATGACGGTTGACGCAAACCCTCCAAATACCTTTTTTGGGGAGGGGCAAAAATTTAAATCTCGCCCCGGGCGTCTATTACCCTCGGGGCGGCCCTGGGTACAGTTTCTTAACTGGGCTATGCTAATATCGATTGAAACTATCGAATTGAAAATATGGATTAGTAATCGATATTTTTAAATATATCTAAGTTATTATAAAGTTTAACTATCATAACCTAACCTAACCAACCAAACTTGCTGATAGTGAAAAAATCGCTCTAAGGTTTACTTATCGAATCGATAGTTTCAATCAATGTTAGCATAGCCCAGTTAAGAAACTGTAGGTACCTACCCAAAGTGTTTTAGTTGTCTTTTTTCAACCAATAACATAGGAAATACTGTAGGGTTATTATAAAAGTGTCCCTATTTAAGTAGGCCTAACTTATTGATGAAGACGTTATCTTATTTATTATTGAATACTTAAATTAAATACCCTACTTATTATTGACATTTTTAAAAAATAAAGTGAGGTATATATTTATTACCTTAATCTAGTTAAATTACCAGAAGTACTCTTATTAGCAGTTAGTTCAGACCTATACAAAACATAACCTTAATTTCACATGACAGACAATTAATTGATTGACATTATGACATTTGCATTTGACTGATTTTGATTTTACAATACTTAAATAGAGTAGATTGAGAGAGATTACTGAACTGAGAAGTTAAGTGTAAGTTTGATTTTCTTTCGTCACGTCATGTCAGTTCATATTGCTCAGTTCTAATGAATGAACCCTCTAGCATAGTTTTGAGAAATTGGTTGTGGGGTTACTGTTAGCTGTAATTCCTTGACATGGGGGATGTCAATTAGTTGTCTCAGCCTTATCAATAACATAAAGTTGTCAATATAATCTCTCTACGGAATGTTAGGTGTAGTGGAATACTTGAAGTGAAGTTGGATTTTATTTTTGAACTGTTAGGGGCCTCTTAGTTAATACGGCCTTGCGGCTTCATTGGCAACAAATAATTGAAATTACATAGCAATAGGACATTTCCAAAAAGCAAAAATACTGTAAATTGGCTGTTACGTAAATATTGACGTTTACATGCATTGTTAATCAACGTATCTTATAAAGGATTATGTGATCTAGTTTAAAAGGAATATGCCCTTTCTGTCATGACAGGGGCTGCTTAAATAGTATTTTCTCTTTGTACCATATTTTACAGGCAAAACGTCGTGTTATTTTCAATAATGTTACCAACCCAGTGCGCCAAAGTCTGTAATATAGCTAGGTGCAAATAATTTGTCAAGATGGGTACCATATTAGGCAAAGTCTCTATGTTTGGATTTTATTAGACACGATATATCTTCATAAATATTTGATATGTGTAGAATAATATGATAAAATGTAGGCAAAAGTGGTGAAAAAGGCAGACACCAACCCGTACAATAGATATAAGATACAGTAGAGTTCAATAAGAAATGATTTAAGAATTGCTGTAATAAATGGATTTCCACTGATTTCGTAATGGCATGTTATGTTGCAAGTCATGACATGATAAAGAAGAAAATAAATTTTAAAATCAGAAAATTGCATTGCAATTACTTATTTGGTAGAACATGGTAGAACTCAGTAACTCCCAATAAATAGTGCAGTAAAAATAAGAGAAAAATTCCATAAACATAAAAAAAATTAGCACAACCGGGGAATTTGGTACAGATGTTGGGTGTACCTTCCTTTTGAACATACTAAAAGTCCCCTAAAATTGAAGCTGTGCTACGGCCGCCATATTGGAAAATGGCGGCATATTTCTGTATTTTTCGCTATAGTGACTTTATTATTAGAGATACAGGAAAAAGCTAAATGTACAAAATGTAGGTCATCTAAAAATACACATTTTTTGTATTTACCATCTTTCCCTAAACCCAACGGTTTTTGAGTTATTTGTTATTAAGTATATTTAGTTTTTCCTATTTATCAAAAATAGGTGAAACACATGGAAATTGACCGTTATTTTAAAGGATTATGATAATTTATCCCATTTAGTTAAATAGTGTGATACTATAAAATCTTAAAATTTAAGCTTATTTTATGAGTAAAACAACTCTGCCACAGCAAACCTGCAGACTCAGCAAATTTCCATTTGATTGGATGTTTTATTAAAAAATGAATATAAATAAAATTAGGTTCAACAGGTACCTAGGTTTGCTGCTACAGGTAGGTTATTATAGTGTGTTTTTTTTAAGTAAAATATCAATAACTTAGTATAAAATAATTAATTTTCCAAGTTTGAACATAACAAATCTATAAACAAAAAAACTGCAACAGTTAACTAATTCATAATAATAGCATGGTAGCTTAAGATTTCCAATTTACAAATTTAAATATAGAAATTTTGGTTGTGTTTACTAAAAATATGGCGATTATTTGTCACGATTCGAATACTAACCGAAGGGGTTTTCAAAAGGAGATGAAGCAAGTTATTTAAGTACTGTAATATTAGCTCGTACCAAGATCGGAAATGTTGTATGCAGTGAGGAAATCAACCATATTTCGTAAACTACGCAATAGTCATATTAATATTTTATACTCATTTTTACCCATTTAATAAATTAACATTTTAATATTTTGATGGCACTACCACTATCACTCTGATATCAACTGAGTGGGATGAATAATTGTCGTAAACCTTGAAAGTAACCGTCGATTGCGATGGGTTTCACCGATTTTTGATAAATAAAACTAACTATACTATACCATACTTAATTAGTCACCAACATGAACTAGACACGAAAAACACCCATCCAAATTTACAATGGGATGTCAAGTATAGTTAGTTAGTGTGGTGGTGCCATCAAAATACTAAAATGTTAACTATTAAATGGATAAAAAATTAAGATAAAATATTAATATGACTATTGCGTACTTTACAAAATATGGTAGATTACCTTACTGCATACAATATTTTCTGTGCTTGGTACAAATTAATATTACTTAAATAACGGGCTCCATCTACTTTTGAAAATTCATTTGGTTAATATTCTAATCGTGACGAATAATCGCCATCTTTTTAGTAAACACAACAAAAATTTGTGTATTCAAATTTGTTTATTATAAATTTAAAAATCCCATGCTATTCTTATGAATAAGTTAACTGTTGCAGTTTGCTTGTTTATAGATATGTTTTGATCAAACTTGGAAAATTAGTTATTTTATAGTAAGGTATTGTTTTACGTTAAGATATTTTACTTAAAAAAACACACTATAATAACCTACCTGTAGCAGCAAACCTAGGTACCTGTTGAACCTAATTTTATTTATATACATTTTTTAATAAAACATCCAATCAAATGGAAATTTGCTGAGTCTGCTGGTTTGCTGTGGCGGAGATGTTTTATTTATAAAATAAGCTTAAATTTTAAGATTTTATAGTATCACACTATTTAACTTAATAGGATAAATTATCATAATCCTTGAAAGTTACGGTCAATTTCTATGTGTTTCACCTATTTTTGATAAATAGAAAAAACTAAATATACTTAATAACAAATAACTCAAAAACCGTTGGGTTTAGAGATGGTAAATACAAAAAATGTGTATTTTTAGATGACCTACATTTTGTACATTTAGCTTTTTCCTGTATCTCTAATAATAAAGTCACTATAGCAAAAAATACAGAAATATGCTGCCATTTTCCAATATGGCGGCCGTAGCACAGCTTCAATTTTAGGGGACTTTTAGTATGTTCAAAAGGAAGGTACAACCCACATCTGTACCAAATTCCCCGGTTGTGCTAATTTTTTTTGGGTCAAAACATATTATTACTGTACTAAAATGTGTGTTGTTTGAAATACAATTTAAAAATAAACAGCTGTTTCATTAAAAAGTATTATTCACTAAATTCACATGGCCAAAATGTAAACAACTCTGTGGAGGGATCTTTAAAGGCTTCTGGGACAGAGTCCTAAGGGATTATGCATAGTTTTTGATAACTCCCTTTCTTTTGAAAACTCATCTGCAGACCAATACCTTTCTTTGGACACCTCTACCAAGTTTCTACGCCCAGCCGTTCTCTCAAATTAGTGGGAACAAAGTTTCCAATTAAAAATTTAGATTCCCCCATGTTAATCTTATGGGAGAAACTCCAACTTTGATGGCCTGTGGGGCAAAGCCCGAGTATTTTTATTACAGGAATTGGTGAAAGGGGGCGTCTACACAAAAAATATTTTATTTTGACACGTCGTTTGTAAAAATCCGTCCATTATTAACGGAGGAGTAGTGTTTTGTAGAAATCGCTTTCACGTATTATATATATAAGGATAAGGATTCATTTGTGCATCGGTACCACTTTTATATCTTCCAGGGGCCTAAATATGTGTTCACCACCTGAGTTGATAAATCGGACTTGTGTCCAATAAGTGGTACAGTTGTATTTCTAAAAAGTGGCTACGTTCCAAAGTTTCCAGTTTAAATTCCCTCCTTGAAAGATTTTTGTGTCTTGAAAAGATGACAAAGATTTCAATCGACTTCATTGACGTCGGTTCAATCTTGGAAAGAAAAGAAATCCGGAACTCACTGATAATGGCCAAGTTAGTGACTCCAGATCGGTCACTTTCAATCGGCAGATTTTTGTTTTATTTCCAGTTGAGGGTAGTCTACTAAGAGAAACTAACAAATCACTGCGAGTGTCAACCGATAAAAGTGTATTATTGTCAAATATCTCAGCTTTAGATTGAAAATAAGACATTTTTAAATGTGTAGCTTACTACATATTACCTAAAAACAATTTTGTCTCTATTTTTGATTTAGTTTTTAACATTTAAAATCATTCAGTAATATATAAACTATAGTGGATTAAGTATTATCGATAGAAGATGCATCTAGCGGAGACTAAGTGAACTGTCACGAGCCTCGACGGTAGCTACATCTAGCGGTGTTTGACTGAACTAGTCTGAAAACCATCGTCGTGAAAATAGTTTTAAAATAGTTTAAATCGACTATTTAATTTAGAAACGAAATACAACTGTACCACTTACCTCGACACAAGTCCGTTTTTATCGACTCAGGTGGTGAACACATATTTAGGCCCCTGGGAAGTTATAGTCTACCAATGGCTAGTCTTATAGTGGCTAATAGCATTGACTATATATACTATATAGTCAATGCTAATAGTTATACTAATCATATTAATATTATAAGTGTGAAGGTTTGTCTGTGTGTGTTTGGTTGTTCGTTTAAAGTTCAATCACGCATTAACTGCTGGTCAGTTTGGGCTCAAATTTGGCATGATTATCAAATTCCCGATTAATATATAGGCATATTCTTATAAAAAAAATCATTTCGGATTCAGCCCCAGTGGCTTTGTAGTTCCCATGATTTATGAGTATACACATTTAAAAGGAATTAAATAATATAGTCAGCTGTTTAAACTAAACAAGTTGAATCTATGCTATGCAAAAGCATTCAAAAGTTATAAGGTTTACCAACAGGGTGCAACATTATTATTTTTTTTCATTTATGACAATAGATAATCTGAACTAAGCAGTATTAAAAAGCTGGAATAAGCAATAAGAACTGTCAAAGTAAGATTTTTACAGTTATGTTTAGGCTCATGTGTT